CCCTCTTTATAGTGGTTTTACGTCTCGTCGAACCAGTGGGAGACCGCACTGAGCGTCGTCCAGTGTGCTCCATCAGAGCCTTGACATTATTGACAAAATACGACGATGAACTGCTATTTCCGCCTTTTTCGTCTACTAGATATCGTGTCGCTCCACACACATCAGAAGGGCCTTGCCCAGGATGCCACTCTTGGCATGCAGCGACTGCATCGAAATGTGAGCAAGGACCTCGTCCTTCATGCCTCGGCCATTAGGTGGCCATACCACTCCTGGTATGCAGCGACTACTTCAATACTTGAGTAGCCCTCAGGGAGATACGTGCCACTCCACGTTCAGCCTGCGAACCATGCTTGGACAACTTGTGCAATACACCTTCAGCGTTTCACAACTTGGATACTCCGATATCCAGCACATTGACTGTCCTGTCTGGTGCCCACGCCAATAGCGTTTCTGCTTCCTACCAGAGGTGAGTTCATGACTCACCAAAGCTACACCAGGAGGTGTGCGCGTAGCGCCCAAATCTTCGACCCCCAATCAGTGCATGGCTCATGGTGGTCCGACCATGCCATACCAAAGATAAGTTCATACCTTGAACCAAGTCTAAGACTAGACAGCTATCAAAGTCAAAAAACTTGACATCGAGGTCCACAGAGACCCTCGGTACAGTGACACAATCCCCCGTAGCAAAGCAAACACTGTCGGTGTCACTCAACCGCGCTTCCAGTGCCTTAGCATACAACTGAAATCTTTTGATTGTGCAGCATCGAGAACAGTTGTTCGATGCCCCAGAATCGATAACGATCTCCCATGGCTTTTCAAACCCCTTCACGGTCCATTTTACGACCAGCAAAACCGGCTTGCACTCATGTTCCGTGTTCTAGAGCACGGAGCTCTTCAGGACTAAGCCCTGCTGCCCTTTACCCCTTTGAGGCCAATAAACTCAGTTTTCCCAAAGGGTCGCCTTGCTGCGTTACTGGGTGTTCTTGTTCCCCGCGACAAACCAGACTGGTAAGAATCGGTTCGTCGGTTTGACGAAACTTTACGACTTGTGCAGGGAACAACCAGTTCGAAGATGACGGGTTTCTCCACAGACAGAACACCGTCGAGATTACACACTGCTTGGCAGCTCGACGCCCTCCCTCCTCTATTTCAGCATACTGAGATCCATTGGCTCAGGTCCGCTCGACGAGCTCTGAGGGTGTAGATTCCAGCCAAGTCGTGCCAACTTAAATTAAGTTTTGCATTCAATGCCACGCTCACCGCCTCCTTAAAAAAAGACGGATGCACACAGAGAATTCAATTCTAACCGCGCAAATCTGGAAGCCCTCC